CCTTCTTCTTCTTCTTTCTTTCTTTCTTCCTTCCTTCCTTCCTTCCTTCCTTCCTTCCTTCCTTCCTTCCTTCCTTTCTTTTAACGTAATGCTGTAAAATTACTCTCTTCTAAAGAAAGAAGGAACTAGTACTTGGCATATCATTCGTTCCCTCACTCAGTATGTGTCATTCCAGTCGCTTCAGCAGAGGCGATTAACAAGGTATTGTCTCTGCTTGAGAAACTTCCAATCTATGGGGAGGAAGGAAAAGTAAACAGGCGACCTCCAATGTGTGTAACAGATGTTACAGAAACACCAAGGGCGCACAGAAAAGGGGCATCTACGGCAATCCTGGAGGATCAGGGAAGAGTCTCCCGAGGGAGCACCAGATCGAGGAGCAGGTGTGCTGAGAGAGGAGTCAACTTCTCATAATCCGGTGTGTGATTTACACTGACAGCACATCTCCATGTGAAGTAGTCACATGTCAGTTGCTCAACAGTCCCACGTGGCTAGTGGCTACTCTGCTGGACAGTGACGTTCTAGACCTTCAAGGACCATCCTGTGGGTACTAAGCCGTCACCAGATTGGCACGGCTTTCCTGGTTATTATAATCCTGCTGATTCATGGAGTTTCCATGTCCCCAACCCCAGACCCTTCCCTGGCTGCTGCCAGAGAGCCGACGCAGAGGGGCAAGGATTGCAGCGCACTAGGAGAGGGAGCAGCAGGGGAGAAGAGGGCTCAGCCTTCTGCTCCCTGGGCCTCTCCCTCTGGCCCCACTCTGGCTCACACACCTTTTGTAATGTGGGCCAAGTCAGAGTTCAACTTCAGACTTTAACACTTACTAGTTACGTGTCTCATTTCTGAAACTAAAGACAATAATAGTACTAGTCTCATAGTTTTTGTGAAGTTTAAATGCAGTAATGCGTGTAAACTGCTTTGGATGGTGTCTGGTACAAAGAAAGCATTCTTCAGCACCAGCTAATGATTTAATAATAATAATAGTAATAAGATGAGGAGGAGGAAAGAGGAGCAGAGGAACATTATCATTCTTAATTTTGTCTGCAGGTTTTAGCAGAGTGCCTGGCGCGTAATAGATACTCAGGAAAGCATAAGCTTTCTACCCTGGAAGCTTATAAGATCCCCAACTAGTTTCTCTAGTTTCTGCCTGATTGCTTCCAGGAAGTCCCATATCAAATACCCCCCATTCCACTTTTAGGTAGTTCTACTTGTTAGAATCCACTTTCTTATGTTGGGCAAGAACCTATAAAATGCACAAATCTTGAATCTTACCAAGTAAGCAAACTGATAGGTCTTAATAGCAAGTACTCTCCTGCAACCAACACAACAATCATAATATAGAGTATTGCTCTCACCCTAGAAAGTTCTCTCATGTCCCTTTCCAGTCAATCTCCTCCCTGAAACCCAGAAGTAACCACTATTCTGAGTTCTAGCCCCATAGATTAATTCTGCCAAAACAAAAATTGTTTTTGAAGTTCATGTAAATGGAATAATATACTATTGTCACGTTGTACTTTTATCTAAATACAGAATTTTATTCGTTTAAGATTGAATCATATTGATTTCAGCCTTTCCTTACAGCTTGTGAGCATTTTCATCTTGATCACATCACCCCTATCTGTGAATTTCTCCAACTTTGTGCCATCTACAGATTTGACAAAAATTCTTTCTGTCCATCATGCAACATAAAACAGGAACAAAGCTGGAGTCCAGCAGTACGTAGCTAGAAACCTCCCCTCAATTTGGAGGCTTAGGAGATGGGAAGCCTTGTAGGAGTGCTGGCCATACACGGCCCCGGGAGATGCTCCATGTTGATGGGGAGGACGGAGTTCTGCCTGGAACTCACTGAAGAGGGAGGTGGTGACAGGACAGCCTGGTGGCACTGTGTGCTGGGGAGAGGGCAGGGCTGCAGAGCAGGGTCTGAGAGGCACATGCGTAGAAATGAGTGCTGATCTGGAGGGAGGAAAATAGGGGAGAACCGAGGGCCCATCAATCACCCATAGAACAAGGGCCGTGAAAGTTTCCAAGATCATCTCAGGAGTCCTGAATGAAGGTTATTGTTTGGTCTGGTTTTATGTTTTCTTTGTTTTTATAAGTCCTCCATGGAGTCTGGCAGCTTATAAGGAAAATTATTTTCCTAGACTTAGAATCGACTAAAATTGTTAAAACCCTGGAGGGCTCTCCACTCACTTCCCCAGCTTCAAATCAGTGAAGCTCTGGGTACAGGCTGAGCACAGGCTGACAGGTGGGGCCGGGGGAAAGGATGTTTGTTTGGGACTTGTTGGTTCTTTTTATCTTTCTGATAAAGTAAAGCTCACTTTTATCAAAATGTTCCTTAAATTTCTACTTCTGTGTCTTTGACACACATATGAGCTTAGAAATGTGGAAAAGCA